AGAAAGTGGTCCAGTTTCATTCTTTTGCATGTGTCTCTCCACTTTTCCTAACACTATTTATTGAAGAGACTGTCTTTACTGCATTGTATAGTCTTGCCTCGTTTGTCATAGATTGAGTGACCATATAGGCTTGAATTTATTTATGGACTCTCTATTCTGTTCTGTTGATCTCTATGTCCATTTTTATTCCAGTACCATGCTGTTTTGATTACCATAGCCTTGTAGTATAGTCTTACTATGGCCTTATAGTATAGTCTGGTATCAGGTAGCATGATACCTCCAACTTTGTTCTTCTTTTTCAAGATTGCTTGGCTATTCAAGGGTCTTTTGTGGTTCCATATAAATTTTAGGATTTGTTCTAGTTATGTGAAAAAGTCCATTAGCATTTTTATAGGGATTGAATTGACTCTGTAGATTGCCTTGTGTATTTTGGACGTTTTTAATGGTGTTCATTTATCTGAGCCTCCAGCAAGTCATAATCTTTTTGCTGGTGGAGGGTCTTGCCTCAATATTGATGAAAATGCAGTCTCTGAAGTGCAGTAGAGTGAAGTAGCAAAGCAAATAAACGTGGTATGCCTGTACGGTAAATCGGCAAGCATTTATTGCATGTTGATTACATGCCAGGCACTGTACTAAGCCCTCATGGTAGACATCATTAACTTCAAAGAACTTACATTCTAGGAGGGGAGGTAGACATACAAGTAAAATAAAGCACAGCGTGATCACAAAACAATAGAACAGCACAGAGAGGGGGTTATGAATCCTACTTTATCTGTGGGTGGGCGAAGTCTGTGCAGAGGTCTCCCGAGAGGGTGAGGGGAGCGGTGTCCTAGGTGATGAGCAGGGCGCCCTCAGGACGGGGAGCTGCTGACAGGCAGCAGGAGAGCCAGCGCAGTGGGTTAGGGAAGTTATGCCTGGTTTGGTAGTCCTGGATTGTAAGTAGCAAGGCCATTTGTGGCAGGAACTAAAGCAGGAGTAAACCAGACTGGGCATGAAAGACTGTTATCAGGCCAAGGAATGTGAGCTTTATCTTGAGACACATCATTAGCAATTTTAAGTAGGGGGGTATCTTAGTTTACCACCCTGAACTGTAATTTTAAATGGTGACTTGACCTCATGTGTTTAATACTTGCTGTCCTCAAGCTTACATATCAATTACACTATTTCCAGTAAGTAATAGAAAACTCAATTCAAAATGGCTTAAACTCAACATGGAGTTTCACTTGAAGATATGCCAAGTGAAATGAACCAGTTACAAAAGGATAAATACTGTTTGGGTTTACTTAAAAGACCTTCCTAGAGTAACCAAATTCATAGAGACAGCAAGTAGAATGGTGGCCTCCAGGAGTGGGGGAAGAACATGGGGTTTCAGGTCTACAGGATGAAGAGCTCTGATGTGGGTAGCAGCGAGGGTTGCACAACAGTGTGGCTGTACTTAATGCCCCTGAGCTGTCCACATGAAAACGGTTAAAATTGTACATTTTATCTATTTTACCACAGCACAAAAAATTTCCAAATCAAAATGCCTTAAACTAAATGGAAAATGTATTTCATAACAATGCTTCGTAAATAGAGGAGCTTCAGGGTTGAGCGAGTCCCTGGCTTCAGCAGTATTCAAAAGGGACCCAGGACGTCTGCATCCGCCTGCTCTGCCACCCCCCACGCAGATGCTTCATCCCTGGCCAGCTTCCCTTCCAAGATATCTGCCCCAGCAGAAATCACTTTCCAAGACAATATCCATGAAAAGAGACCATCTTTCCAATGTCTCTTTTTAAGACCAAGAAAGGCTGCCAAAGCCACATACTACTCAGCATCTCCATGTGAATATCCAATAGCCATTTCATCAGCAGCATGGCCGGAACCAAGTTCCTGATGTCCCCTCTGTCCCTTTTTCTGTCTTTCCAGTCTCTGTAAAATGGCAAGTCCCTTTTCTGGAAACCCTTCCTTTGCTCAGGCCAAAGACCTCTGAGTCATCTGTACCCCTCTCTGTGTCACACCATATGCACATCAACAAATTTTTTTGACTCTGCCTTAAAAATGTTCCTGGACTCCACCCACTTTTCACTACCACAAATTTGTTGTTAGACGTCACCATACCTTCCTAGATTATCCCAGTAGCTTCTTAACTGATCTCCCTGTTTCTGCCCTTGATCACTTATATAGTTCATTGAAAAAATAATTGAGTTCTTAAATATGTGCCAGGCATGTCCCCAGGTACTAGCAATTCTGCAGTGAATAGAGCGGATAAAAGTCCATGACCTCTTGGGGCTTTCATCCTGTTCCCACAGCACCAGTCAGACTGGTCTCTTTCAAATCCCGGTCAGTCATGTCTCTCCTTTCATCAAAATCCTTAGACTCACCTGCCCATACTAATAGTCTCTACGTGTAACTGAAGATGAGGACAAGTCAGGTTTTAATATTGAAGTGCCTGTGTCTCAACTGAATGCTGTCACACCACATAGTTCAGTTGGAATGTGGATTTTAAAGTAGGAGAAAGGGAGGTGGAGAAAGTTTCTAGAAACTATTGGAGAAGTAGGACTCTACAAACATAAAGCACCACATTGAATCACTTCAGAGGCATCTGTATGGTATAGTAATCATCCCGACAATGGTTTCTTAACCACCTGCCTGTCTTTCTGCTCCTTTTACCTTTTATTACTGAATGCGTTGGGCACATTGAGCTCTCAAAGCACATTGAAGCATCTATTAAATGAGTGTGAGGTTTTTAATTGAGATATAGCGTGCATGCAATAAAGTGCCACTTGATTAATTTTTGCATGTGTATGTTCCCTTTGTCAGTCCATATCATCTTCCCAGTATAACTAGTACTCCAGCTTGTCACCGTAAAACTAGTTCTGCCTGTATCTGAACCCTGTGTTGATGGAATCTTTCATATCTGGTTCCTTTGATGCAAAACAAGGTGTGAGATTCATCCATATTGTTGCAGATAACTGTAGATTTTCTTGTTGTATAGTATTCCATTCTATGTAAATACCAGTTTATTCTACTATTGATAGATATTTGTGTCATTTCCTGTTTGGGGTATTATGAATAATGTCATTTGTTGGATGTCAGAATTCACTTCTCTTTTCACTTGGCAGTATAATTGCTGGGTTATAGGATATGCTTACAGATACAGAACTTTAGTATATAGTACAAATGATAGAGTGGCCCCCTTGGAGGGTTTTGAGATGTCTTCCTGTATTCAGTGGGTCTGAGCTGCTGCCTGACCTGTTGTTCTTCATGTTTTTGTCTTCCCCTTGCTCTTATCCCAAGCCACAGTGTTGAAGAGAAGTAATGATTAGAATGCAAAGACAAGGTGATATTGTGTAAGAAGGGTATCAGCAATCCTTATATTAAAAGGGAAATTCTCCAGTGATCCGTTATCACAGAGTGTGTGTTTATTACCTCCATTGAAGAAAGTAGGAAAAAAAAACATGATGGGAAATCCTGTTCCTAAATAACAAATGTTTAGGCTAAAGAATTAGGCTAGGCATGAAAGAGCTAACAATTATTAGATTTCATGCACAATACTGATCAGTAGCAGTACAAGGTGATGAACAAGATAAATGGAGCTTACTCTGTGTACAGAGGCAGAACAGCGCCCACAGTTTGCTATGGGGGCAAAGCACTGTGAAGACAAATTCTGCTCTGAATGTTGTAACCTACTGACACACAATGTGTGGGTCTTCCACCCAGAGGGCAATTCCACGATGCCAGCTGGGTGTCCTGCAGTCTAACTCAATTCTGACACTATCTCCAAGGAGATAGTGTCCGATCCCTCAGGTTAAGGGCTCAGCCCCACAAGACTGCTTCTACTTCAGATTTCAATCACAAGTCTAGGTTGTTACTGGTGCTTCTAACCAATGAGCTATAAATTGAAGGTACCCACAGCACCCGCCTCAGGTTCAGTTAATTTGCTAGAGGGAACAGCATGAGCCAAGACCCGGAAGCTAGAAAAAGAGCCAGGCACACACAGGAACTTAGAAAAATTAAAAATTTACCAAGCCTGAAGCATAGTGTTTAAAGCAAGAATAGTAGCAAAAGATGAAGCTGGAAATATAATCAGATACCCGATCATGAAAAGCTTTAAAATAACAATAACAGCCAGTGTTTCTGAGGAACCTGCCTCTCCAGAATCTGGACTAATCACATTTCATGGGCTACCCCATTTAATATTGAACATCCTTAAAACATAGGCACATTGTTACAGATGATATAATGGAGGTTCAATGAAATTAAATAATTGGCCCAAGCTACAGACCTATAAAATAACAGGTCCAGGCATTATCTAATTGATCAAAAACCCATTCTTTTAACCACTCCTGTAGATGCTTCTATATTAGCGATGCTTTATCCTCCTGTGAGCTCAGCTGCTTATGTGTGATTGTGTCATATTTTGATTGACTTAAATCAGCTAGTGTTCCTTAAATGTTTGCAAACATAAAACTGGTATAAACTCTGGGTATGTATACTGAAGATGTATCAAAATAAATCTACCAATTAATACAAATAAAACTGTTAAAATTAAGTAGCATAATTTAATGGGACCGATGGTGCTTTGCTGAAATTGCTGCTCACCGGCAGCGAGTGCGGCAGTATGTGCGGCGCAGCATACCTTGCTCCTGGCGTCTCCTGGCGGTTCCGTTTCCCGGAACCTCTCGTCTCTTTCTGACTTCCTGGAAACCATAATGTTTTAGGGCTTCATTTGGGGCAATGACATCTTGCACATTCCATCCAGTGGAAGTAGTGCTGCCGACAGGATTGTACATACGCAGGCTCTGAAATATAATTTCTGTATGTTAATGAGTTTTGAGTTTAAAATAATAGAAATGATCTATACTTATTAAAATGAGATTCAGTCTGAAATGTAGTTTGGTCTGTGAATGAGAGTGGGGAGGAACGTGGCTATGAGGGGAACGTTTGCTGGATTTTGAGGGTTGCCGTAGTTATGCTTTGTAGAGACTCTATTCTTACTTTTTTATTTTTCTGCTTCACAGGGGTTGGCACCAGGAATTATTACAGAAAGATTGGCTACAGATTACAAGGTCCATACATGGTAAAGACGCTAAAATAATGGCCATACAAGTCCACCTTGACAGTGTCTCTGGCAGGAAAGAGATTCCAGATGTCTGGACTACTCAACAGAGAGGCTGAGCAAAGCAAACGGACCTACCCTGTCCCCTTGGCAAGAAGCTTCACCCTCATCCTGTAGCTGTGGAGACTGGCAACTGCCTTCCGGGCGGGGCCGGCATCTGGTGACCAAGCACGGAGCCGTGGTGCCACCCTCTGCTGCGTGTTCTCAAGAAGTCACTTCAGTTTTCAAGGCTTCAGTCATGTATCCAGTTTCTAAATTCTGCATGAGGCCGGCAAGTGACTTACTCAAACACACTGACAAAAGCAAAAAAAAACTAGGTATTGTTAGTTGACAAGCAAAGTTAGGAGTAAGTTATTTACATGGTATAGGGACAAAAAGTTAGGTTGAAACTATGAAAACTGACAGATTTTGAACTCTGGACTTGAACTATATTCAAAGCATTCCAGCAAAAGAAAACGAGCTTTTGTTTCAATGCAAAGCATTCTGGTTTCTGTGCTGTTTGCAGTAACCATGCGATGCGAGGAGGACTTGAGGTGTGTTTGTGTTTGAAGCTGGAACCAGTCTTTTTCATATGCGAGTCTGCCATCTGCAGCGGGCTCTTACCAACACCCTTAATTTCCAGTTTTTCGTCTGTACTCCCTACTCTCTTGACCACCGCAAAACCATGTGGACACTTATGCCCAGAGAAATACTTGGCTTCTCCTCTGTCTGTCCTGAGCAGGGGGAGTCTGACATGCTTGTGATTTAGGGGTTGTGGCCCTAAGTCAAGATTTCCTCCCACAGGAGCTGATCCCTGCATTTTAATTCTTTAGGATGAATTTCGGGTCCTGACTGGTGTGGGTGGCTCAGTTGGTTGGGCGTTGTCTCACAAAGCGAAAGGACGCCGGTTCAGTTCTGAGTAAGGTCACATGCCTGGTTCGGAGGTTCGGTCCCAGGTCAGGGCACGTACAAGAGGTAACCGATTGCTGTTTCTCTCCTTCTCTTTCTCCCTCCTGTCTCCCTCTCTAAGAATAAATAAATCTTTTTTAAAATGATGAATTTTGGTTTGTTTTAAATGGAGAAAGTCTAAAAGTTCAATTCAAATATGAAAGCAAAACAAAAACCAAAATGCAGAACAGTCCCAAATCTAAAAGTAGACAAAGGACTGGCTTATAGGCCTGTCTCTTTGTACATCCCAGGCAGTCTTCTAGGAAGACTGGGCCGGGAGAAGGTCAAGAGGGTGGCTTAGCCCTGTGCTCCTCGGCTTCAATGGCATCTTACAAAGGTTTACTAAGTGGCATTGTTTCTCCTGAAAGGTATAAAAAACAAACTCTTCAGCATACAAAGAAGAACCGTGTAAGGGTCTCCCTCCCCCTGTAGATGCGGCGGCATTTGCCACAGGTTTCCAGGTTTGAGGTTCCCGTCTGCAGCGCCACTCACTGCTGTCGGCCCCTCTGGGAACCTGCCTGAGGCACAGGGCAGTGCCTTTGTCGGGGGCTCTCTGTGGAGCCACAGAGGCTTTCCACAAGTGTCATTCGGGGAATTTAGCTACTTTTCAATTGTGTTTGTTTTCCCTTTAAAAATAAAACTATTAAACTAATAAAGCATGTACCGTATTGGCTGATGCTACACGTAACTGGAGCCAGAGTGGAAAGCACGCCGGCCCAGGCCAGCCTCTCCCCAGAGTGTGACCTTGAGTCCCTGCACAGGTCTCTGGGCCTCCACTCTCTTGTCTCTCGTCTGTCCTGTTTACCCAGCTGTATCCAAATGGGTCAGGTATAGGCAAGTCCTTTATAAAATTGTAAAAAGGCATTCACGTGCAAGACTTACTTTAAAATGATAATTCCAAGCAAAATTTTAAGTTGTCTAGGAATGTGTCCATTTCTCGTAGATAATAGTCACTATTTTATCTGGATTTTCATCTCAGCTCAGGACAGTACCTACCTCTTTTCAGCTCATCCCCAGACTTTCTGGGAGTGAGTCTCCCAGCACGAAGACGCAAACCTTTACAGCTTCACCGGGGGCAGAGCCCCCGTGGCCTTTCTGTCACTAGAAGCTTCAGCTTCTCTCCTGCCAAGGACTTTTCCCCGCCATTCGTGGCACTTGGCGCTTCCATGGCCTCGCCAGCCTGGCCTCCCAGAGATGTGTGCCCCTTGTACAAGAGGCCGCCTTAGAGAGACCAGTTGGGCGCGATCCTGCCGGCTTCCACATGAAAGCTTCGAAGCTGCAGCCGTGTTGCTGACCTGTCCTGAATGACGTGCTAGCAGCCACCTTGGAGCCAATAGCTCTTAGTTCAAACTCTTGTGAAATCACCTGGAGAGAATGAAAAAAAAAGCCATGGCAAAAACAGATGGAAATCTATTTGAATAAAAAATGAGATCTTAAAAGAACAATGCTGTCACCCAGTGAAAGGATAAAGCTCAGTTTCTTGAATGAATGAACCCCTTTTAAAGGGAAAAATTTTCACCGACAATACTGAAATGCACTACTTAAAAACCAAAGCCTGTTCTCTGAAAACATCTTTCAAGTTGCAAATTTTCATTTTCCAAGTTTTTAAAAGATGATCTTTTAACTGAAAAACATTTGTCCATATAGAACTCACAGACCCCTGAGTTTATAAACACCTCATAATCTGGGTTCTGAAAACCTGGGCTCCTCTATTAGTAACCCCAGCTCTGGGCAGGTCCCCTCACCTGGAGCTACGGCCTCCCGCTTGTCACACCCCTCTCTCAGGGAAAGTGCAAGGATCAGAGATGGTCACATCTGAGAGACATTGCATCATGATGTTTTGTATGTAAACAGTGGTTCCTCTAATGAAGGAGCTTCTGAGAGATGGGTGCCCTCAGACAAGCAAACTCCCTGCCCCTTGGCAAGGCTCCTCTCCATACATTGGACACAACAAGAATACCCCCCTCACGCAGTGGTGGTGAGGACTGAATGGGGCCCTGTACGTAACGCTCTGAGAACAGGACCTGTGGAACGTAAAACACACTAGAGAGTCTAGCTGTTACTAATATCTGACAAGGGCAGCATTGGGCCCATTTTAACAAGGAAGTTTCTTATCTATTGGCACTAGAACCTGACTTTTTGCTGGAGTCTAAATTTTGCTAGAAGCCAATGTCACCAGAATAGTATCTGGTGCTCTGAGGCCTCCTACTCTAGTCTAGTTGGTCCTTCTATTTCATTCACATAAGCCTAGGGTCACAGATGGTCAAATCTAAGCTTTGAAGGGTGAGAGACTAGCTGATATTCTGCAATGGCAAAAAGCATTTTTAAATATCCCTGTAATGCTGGGGGCTTCCCAGGAAGGTGTCCAATGTCAGCATGGGCTGCCGTTCTGTGTGTGCTGGCCACTGTGTCTACTTAGGGGGCTCTTAGCTCAGGGGTAGAACTGGCGGTGCCACATTCCTCTGCATTCGAGTTGTGTGTGCCAGCAATACGTTTGTGAAGGAGGTTCCAAAAACTTAAGTTTACAGGCTTTTTAAAGAAACATTTTTAATAGGCAAGTAATCAAATACATGCCTGTAAAAGGTAGCAAAGCAGCTGCTTTTCTACATCCAGATGTGCAGTGGTAGATCCTACCTCTGTCTCTTCACCTGCCTCGAACAGCCTCCCTGTCCACCTGGGAAACTCCTCCTCCTCCAGGGAGGAAGCCACCTCAGTTGTGCTGAGTCGCACTGTGTGCTGTGCGTCGGAACCCTCCCATTCCAACCTAGCTCATCCTCACTGCACTTCTAAAGGGAGACGCTAGTCTCCCTGATTAACAAACAAGGACACGGGGCTGAAGTCAGACAAGGCCCCCCATGTTGGCCGGTGCTGAAACGTCTGGCTCGCACACACTTGACAGGAAAAGTGTCCCTGGAGCAGCCCAGCCCGGCAGCACTGATCTCGGCTACCAAACAGATGGAAGAGTCAAACCTAGGCGGGGACACAGACTTTCTCACTCCACTTGGCTTCAGAGTTCCTTTTTTAGGGAGAAAAACATTTCCGGCCAGCATGCGCTGGAAGAGGACCCTGACAGGGATCGAGCAGGAGTCTGTTCCATGGCCGTTTCATCCTCACAGCAGACAACCTGGGCGGAGAGTCTGAGCGTTGCGGTTTCACAATGGCAGGCAGGGGACGTGAGTGAATGGGAACTCAGAATGACGAGCAAAGAGAGTCTGCTCTTTTTATTTAAATGAAAATAGCTTTTATAAAAACTATATAATGTATGCTCATTATTGAAATAAAACAGGAACGCACAATATAACCTGAAATGCCACCATCAGAGACAGCTGTGTGACGAACTCCCTTCCCATCCATCTCACCCCAACACACACACACACACACACACACACACACGTACACAGTCAGTTTTACGTAAATCAGTTGCACTGCGTGTTGCTTTATGACCTCTTTACTTGACAAAAATGTAATAACATCTCATGTCAGTGCACATGGCTCTACTTTGTCCTTTTTAATGACTACCTAACATTCCATTGTCTGCAAATGCAACAGTTTATTTCAGGTCTTTCATATCTTATGTTCTTTTATATTCTTATTGTCACAATAGCTAGAATCATGTATTAAGCATAAGGGCTGCACACACTGTTGACTCAATACTAAGATTTGCTTTAAATTTTTGTCTACATAAGCATTCACTCACCATGGCAGGCTTCCTCGGTGTCCCTCCCTGTAGCTCTCCGATCCCCAGGTCTTTCAGTCCTTCATTCATCACCCACCTCCAGGAGGTGGGGGAGGGGCAAACCCGCCTGGCAGCTTGGCCTGTTTCATTAAGGCAGCAGCGCATTTGATCATGAACAAGTCCCATCAAACAAAATGTCAAGCTGCCAGTTCGCTGAAAGGTGCTGGTGCGTGAACATGCTTTTATTGAGGTTAGAGGTGGCTGTATCTTATATTTTCTCCTCTGATAGAAGTTACCACTTTGAGACAGAGGCGGTTACTGCCACAGGGCTGGTCTCGCCTGGGAGGTGAGCGAATGTGAGCGCTGGGACGGTGGCAGTAGCACCTGTCTCAGCTGGGCCCCAGGCTGCCTGGGTTTGAGGCTTGCTTCTGCCCCTGCCTCGCTCTGCAAGAACCAGGGTCCTGGACCCTACTGGGTGATGGGGTGATGGGGTGATGGGGCAGCAGGCAAAGGATGGTCCATATCTTCCTGAAGAAAAGGAAACGCTGGGCAAAGAGAAAAAGAAGGGGAAACAGTAACTGCTGAGCAGATAGGCTCAGGTTCACCCTCACAACAGCCCTCTGAGGCAGGCATTGCACACAACCTCCATTTTACAAATGAGAAACCAGGGTTCAAAACAGACAAGTAAATTAAGTCCTCAGCTAGGGAGTGAAGAACTGAGTGTAAAGGCGACAAATTGACATTTGCAAACTCACAAAGCTGCAAGGACTCTAATACCTATGGGCAATGGTGGCTCTAGAATTTCTAGACGAAAAGGTTTTTTGGGCTAGTAATTGGACTGGAAAAAGCTTTTCTTCTTGAAGCTACAGTTGCCTAACAGATGCTGCTTGCCTGCCACCCTACCATCCTTAAAGCCGATGCTCGGCACAACTGCCAGTGGCTCTGCCTTGAAAAATGACTTGAAAAAATACGGCCAAGAGGTACATCCGACTAAACGTGAGAACAAGGACAATAAGGGAAGAAAGAAACAGCAGTAAGTAATCAATCTCTTTTAGAGAACTAAAACTACTGTATTTTGCCATATATAATGCACACCTGTTTTGTGCTCATTATACGCGGGATGATTATATCCATGGTATGTAATCATTAAACTCATGTATAATGTGCATCCTTATTTAGCCCTAAAAAATTTGGGCAAAAAAGTGAGCATTATACATGCCAAAATGCGGTAAGTCACTGCCATAGAAAGAATGAAAGCTGGTTAAAATAACAGGACTGAAGACTCACCTAGTTCTGCTCCCACCCAAAGCTCACACAAGACTAATGGGGATTCAAAAAAGAAAACCGTCAACCCACAAGAACAGGGAGAACAAAAGAAGAGACAAAGAGACAAAAGTGGTAATAGTTTGGAAGCTA